ACACTAGCTACGTTTACATGCGCAAAATTTCCCCGATCCGATCCAAACCTTGGTTGATCGGAAATTCAAAATCTCCGTTTACATGGACACTAAATGAAATGATCCGATCATGACGTGTGTATACATGTACCAAGCGTTGGATCAGATTAAATCTTTTAAGCATGCGCAGAACTTCCTGCCAAACTTAGCAGTTCTGTCTGCTTCTGGTTTTTGGGAGGCCTGACAAACGATGCGCTCAGAGCGAGCGGAAAGAAAAACGGAGAGAGGAGGAAAAAAGCGCTTGGCAGCGAAATGTCTGAGAGAAAATGTAGAGAATGAGCGATTGAACCGGCGTGGGAGAGCGAGTGGGCTGTGGAGAGAGAAAAGAGGAAGAGGAGGAGGATAAATTCCTGCTTCCTGCAGCTTTGAATGAACTTGAGTGAATGTTGTTCACAACAAGAGCGAGAGCGACCGGTGGTTTCCTATTGTTGACAAGGCGGAAAAACGTCACGCTGACGTCGCACACATGCGCAGTGAAGATTATTTTACTCTTAAGATCCGAATGGGTGTTTACATGGACGCCAATCGGAATGGCGATCGGCAAAAACCACCTCTCTCTTTCGGAATTAAATTTAGATCCGATCGGACCGAATCGGATTAGAACCTTCAGTCTGACATGTTTACATGAAACATTTTTGATCTGATCAGGCCTTCAATCCGATTAGTTGTGTCCATGTAAATGTAGCTACTGTCATTTCTAAGTCACCAATTTAGTGCTACTTGGTCCTAATGGAATTTCCCATTGGGAACCTACTAGCACTAAGGTGCTATCTGGTTAGCAAGATGCTTCAGAGACACCGGCCACAACCAAACTATCTTGCAAACCTTCCACCACAACAATCCTGCCCCATTGATAAACGACCAATCACATTCACTTTATTCACTAGTGTAAAGTACACCAGTCTGGAGAATTCGGAAATGCAACGGTTGGAATGGCCGCTTCTCTTTGACTTTAAAGGCACCTTTAAATAAAATGTTTTACAATTCCTTATGCCGTTATAATATTTCCAAATTATTTCGGTTCGTTTTTGTTGGGAGCTGGAGAAATACCAACTTTCTCCAGCAGAGTCCGCCCTGGTTCCTCTCAGCTGAGCTGTCGACGCACCTGCTTCTGATTATCTCATCTGGAGGACCAGACTACATAAGCTGTCTTCAGACCTTGCCTCGACGCCGCAGTGTCTTAATCAGTTTGTTAGCACCTAAGCCATAGATCCTCTGAGAACCTTGTTACTCCTGAGTCCTGTTTGGGTTCTAACCCTTTTTGTCTCTGCTTCCAGGTTACCTGTTTTTCTCCTGTGAAGCTCTGGAAGAGCTTGACCTGCCGAGCCTGCCCTCCGAGCCAAACCTGAAGACTCACTCTCTGGATTTCCTAGCAGCTCTGGATACCGAGCTGGAAACTCAAGCCAAGGTCAAACTCGTCTCTAGTAGTAAGACGCTGAAACAGCTTACGGACTCTGCAGAACCAAATCATCTCCGGACCCAACAGTTCCGCTCTCTAAGCCTCATCTACGCACTTCAAGGTACGAACCTGAACACAACCAAGATCAATCCCAACCAAGCCTTCGCTAACAGAACTGTCTCTCTCACAGACTCCAGTGAACCAGTCCCAGACCAGAACCAGTCAACTGTTCATTTATTTCATGCTTGTGCAAACAATAAACTTGTTAAACTTTCCCTCTGAGTCGTCAGTGTTCTGCATCTTGGGCCTCTCTGTTAACCCATCATGACAGTTTTTATTTCATGAGCCTACCTAAAAGTGGCCACAAAAAAAAACCTCCAACAGAGTGACTCATTTCATTTACTTCTGTCTTCTGCAGGTGACCATAAGTGAGTAGAAGTCTCAACAGGTTGAATCATGTCTTGCCCATGACAGCAATGCTGTTGATGGATAGCAAAGAGTTAATAAGCACAGAAACCTCCTGACAGATATTAATGCAATAGCCTTTTGCTGACAGATGTGAAGTCCGAATAAGAGCGGTGTGTTAGTTCATGCATGAAGTTGTGTGTGTGTGGGGGGGGGATTAACCCCAAATAATTTCAGTTTATACAAGGAAGATTGATTCAAGGTACAATGTTTTCATTCTTATGCCACATAAGCTCAGAGAGTGGAAGCAGGGTATTAATTTGCATTGCAAAAATATTCAGGACCTGTTATTGTTGGAGTGGAGACAAAAAAGATCACTTACTAACCAGCATTGCTGCTCTTTTTTAGGATTATATGAATTCTTTCAAAAATATTCGGTACTTTAAACTTTCCCCTTTTGACAAATCATAGCCGCAAACAACAATGTTTTTTTTATTGAAAAGACATTTGATTGTGAAGGGGAACCATAATAAATTACTTATTGTATTTTTTTAGTAATAACATCAGAAATTGTGTGTTCACTATCCTGTATTGTGATAACCCTGAATCTACCGCAGTTAATTGTCATCAGGAATTGCCTAATGAATAAACAGAGTCCAGCTGTGTGTACTTTGTCTTTTAGTCTACATCCAGCTGTTCTGTGTGTTTAGAGGTTTAACTCAACAATATCAGATGGTAAGTTGTAGGACATATTTTAAAAATGTTTTTTTGCCCTATGTTGTGTTGGTTCATTACATTAAATCCTGTTAGAGTTCATAAAAAACAATAAATGTGAACAAGTTCAAGGGGTGTCGATACCTTTACAAAGAGCTTTAGGATATGACAGGTAGAAAAACTGCAAAAACGTCACATGATGGTTATATCTAAAGCAGTTCCTCTTTGGTTTGATATATCTCTGCTCACATCCACAGCAGATGCGATTCTGATTTTGTGACTTTGTTCACAGGATACTGTCTGCTTCATAAATCTTCTCAGACTCCCTCATCAGCAATTTGTTTTCAGCCCTTCTGTACGATTTAAATTACCAGCAGCGCAGAAATAAATCAGCTCCCACAAGTGACAGGGCCCAGTCGATCATCACAGTGGATGTCTTGGCTCATCTCTCAATCAAATCTGTTTCACATTCCACACAGGCATGGGCAGCAGCCTGCTCTGTGAGGAGGATGCAACATAAGCAGAATTTTTATCTCCATGCAGAGGATTTTATTTTGTGGTTAAACTGAAAACAGATATCTCGATGTGTGGTTTTTCTGCACTTTTGGCATGATCTTACTTTATTTTCCAATCTAAAACATCCAAACACGCGTCTCTCAGCACTTTTCCACCTTGTAATCCACAAAGAATCCCTCTCATTATCTCAAACCAATCCTTTGTTTTTGGGTGGACCACATCGTTTTTACTCCATCTACTGTCTGCTGGGTGAGGGCAACCACCACGTTTAACCTCGTCTTCTCCTCGCTGGGTCCTCCCAGGAGCCAAACCACAGGCCGTAATTGTCCAGCATTCTTTGGAGAGGACGAGAGAGGCCTCGCATGGTAAAACGTGAAGTAAAACCGTCATGACAAAGCTCCAAGAGGCGACAAGGCCATTTGATGGAATGAAGTTAAACAGTACTGAGCTACAGAGAAAAGCATTACTTACTGAAATTCCAGAGAGGCAGATCAACAGACTAAATTATTTCCAGCCTGTATTACTGTTTTCAGCATAAACTACAAATTGACCGTGAAGTGAAGTGTGTAAAAATAAATAGGGATTTAAATTAGGTGGAAAAGCATCATGCAAGATAGAAAGTGTTTCAAGTTGCTGGTTTTTAGATAATAGATGTAACTTCTTTCATAATATACAGTAGATCCATGTTTACAGCAGATAATCAGGCATCCACACATAAAGGCTAAATGCTTATGACAAAAATACTGATTTGTGAAGCAAGTCACACGAATTACCGGTGCCCCTAGTGTATGGTAGCCTAATTTCTGCCAGTGAGCCCAAGGGCACCCTCCAATGTCATTTGGAGTGCAAGAGAGGAAATGGGCTCCTACGTGCCCTCGCACGCATTTAGTAGGCGTTACCTCTTGGGAGCGGGTACAGGGTTGTGCATGTGCATTTTCTTTAAAGTTGTTTCAAAAATTGAATGAAAAGCCTCCCCTATACCATTAAAAGCTAAAAGAATTTTTTAAAATCCTTCTTTTAATTTAAGCGCAGTCATTCAAAGGGGAAAAAAACGTTCAGTAATATCAGTTTTTCACAAATTCACACAAAATAACACATTAAGAGGTTCACACATTAAGTTAATCAGTCTACAAACGTTTCAAAAATAATCCATGACTTCTTGTTCCCCTGGAGTACAAATATGATTTGGAACAGAGGTAGATCACTTTTAGCTTCTCTTCTTAAAGGCAGAGACTGGAGAGCATGCCAATCAAGTCTACAGATGTGCCTTGATCATCACAAAAAAACAATTGGACTAAACTTGTAATAAATCTATATTCAGAGCTATCATTTAAAAATTTAAAAGAACTCATCTTTCCTTTCATCACATATGTGATCATGGCAATTTAACCGGAAATGGTAGGCTCAGGTCAGATTAAACTATGAAGCTTTATAGTTACAACAATCCTGCTGGGTCTGGTTTGAATAAAATAATAAATATGTGGCGTAGCACGTCATGCACATGGTTAGGCATAAAAATGTAAATAAAGGCTTGATTTTGACAAAAAGAAAACATACTTTAAATGGTCTTTTAGGAGTAAACCGCCTGAAAGCCTATGGTCTAAAAGAGAAATGTGTGAGATGAGCGAAGAGAAGCCATTATCAGAGAGATTTTTCCTTATGGAGGGGTCAAAGGTCCCTCTAACTATTTACTCCAACCTTGTGAGGTGCTGACAAAGTAGTGAAAGTCCAAAGTATCAAAAGTACTTCCACTAAAAATCCCTGATTTCTCCAAAATTCTCAGTTAGAAGAGGTTAATTTAACACTTTTAATTAATATTTTCTTGCAATGTCATTAGCATGCAGAACATCAACACAATAAGAAAATTGTATCCCTTTTCAAAAGAAATGATTAGAGTAAAAAAATACAAATAAAGACATAACACTAATTCAAAATAGTAAAGTTCTTTTAATTGTCATCAGTACATCAGATGTAAATCGAGTCAGCTGTCAGCAGGCTGACTCTCGCTGAGCTCCCCTGTGCTTCTTTTGCTTCAATGTTACAGTACTTCAGAACAAACACACTAATCACACTGAACTTCTTTTTTTTCCTGCAAAAATAATGACTCTATTAAATGCACTTTGCAGTGTGGAGTCACCAGTTTTGTTACAGTCGGAATACATCACAAGAACGACCCAATAAACCTGCATAGCAAAGCTCAAAGATACTTTCCTAAGCAGCACATTCAAGATTAGTAAACCTTTTGAAATGTTATTACACTTTTATAAGCTCTTTAACCTTATGTGGGATTTTAAGTACGGCAAAATCTCTCCCTTTATGATCATCCTTTGCAATATCAGCAATTTCCCGGGTAAATCCATCCAGCATAAAGAGCAATTACCAAATACTGACATTTGAGAGAAAAAAAGCAGGAGCCTTAATATAAACAGTGATTATCAGTAGGAAAGAATAAAAGGGTCAGAGTGAACAAAGCTCACAACTAAGTAAGATTCTAATTTCTCCTGTCTATTTAAGCCAGTTGGATTTTCGCACTGGTTTCCCAGCAAATCATTCAAAAACATTTGCATAAAGCAACTCTACATCCAGTACAAAAATAAGTATGGTAAACAGCGCTAGAAACATGCTTTAAAAGAATAGATATCTTAAAATGTGCAAAGTAAAGTATTTTACAAAAAGAAAAGAATGCCAAAAAATTCTATGTGTGACTGAGTAAACTTTTATGTTGGTCTGATGCATAAATTATTTAAAGCAGATTTTTGATGTTTTGTTTTTTTTGTACATAAGGCTGGGGAAAATACCTTGGAAAAGCAGAGGTGAACATTCTGCAACATTTGAGATCTAACAAGCCATATTTACAAAAACTTTTAACCTTTTTTTTTTATTAATACAAGCAATTATCCAATTAACTTAACATTTTTGCAATATATTATAAGGACAGATTCATTTCAGGCTTAGAAGCACAAAGTCCTTTAGCCTATCTTTTCTACCAGGACTGAAAAATGAGCTGCATCAGCTCAGTCAATAAACTGAATATTTCTTTAAAAAACAATCTGGTAAAATAGTTATTCGAGCTTTAAGCTAGAGCTGTAATGAAATGTTAGGAATGTTTTCTTCATTACGGATTTATAGTGGCTTACATGCCTGGTGATATTTTGTTTTTACGAAGCCAGATCAATCTCTTTTCTTTTGGATAATCGGTGTGACTCTTAACCGTCATTCACCTAAAATTTAAGATAACAAGACTCTAGTTACACAGCAACAGCCTGCAGACCTAAGATAAATTATTCCTAAAAATGTTATCTTAATATTTTTATGAAGTATTTTTAATGCAAGTTTAACTCATCTTACAGACGGGATATAAAAATACTTTTTTCCACACTTTAATTCTTCCTAACTATGATTTTTGTGAGATTTTTAAATAGTTATTTTGGTTTGTGCATCCAACCTATGGTAAACCTTCTCTAGGTTTATATGAGAAACAATCTGTCCTTAGAAACCACTATTTAAGCAAAGCTACCACCTCATAAAACTATATATACTAAAAGGCACCTTAGACGAGAATACATCTGCTGTTGCTGAAGTTTGAACTTTTTTGGGGGGGCTGAAGAGGGAAATCTTTTTTCCTCCCCAAAATCCTGAACACTTCATGAAAACATTGTAATGGAACAGCAAGAGGCTACATCACAAATAACTGCATGGTGTCCTTTTCATTAGACAGACCGTTCTTCCACCAGTTGATTTAAAGACATAAATTGCAAATCTGAAATACCAACACGTGTCATTAAAACATCTCCAAATATCCTGTTTCACTGGTATAATGTGAGGTCGTACTTCAACAATACAGTGCGTGTTTTTAAAGTACATCATGCAAAGGGGGAGGGCAGTCTCCTTGTCATGCAGACACTGTACTGCGATTAACACTCCAAAGTCTCTTAAAGGAGGAAGGTAATAACACAAAAATACAAAAGGATAAAACAAACAAATAAAAAGACAAATTGAAAACATTTTATTAAAATAAAACGTCCAGCAAACGCTGTCTTGCTTTTTGCACACAAAAAAATAATCCCCCCCCAACCTGAAGGAGGAAGGGGGGTGTCTTCCCTTCTTCCTTTTGATCTATTTAAACTCATCCCCTAAAATGATCTGCCATGGTGCATAAGCATGACAGCAAGTCTCCCCCCTCCACCTTTTCAACACCTCAAATGTCTTCCCTCTCAGACTCAACCGTCTTGCTCCCCCTGCAGACAACAGGTTGGAATGGCGCCGCTTTCCCAGCCAGACAAGCAGGGGGAGACGGTGCCTCAGGTTCCACCGAGGGGAGGGAGAGGGGGGGGGGTTAAAATTGGAAAGTTGACTTGGGATTGACAGGTAAATGAAGTGGGTTAACTATCACACACTGTTGGCTGGGTGGCAGCGGTAGGTGCAGTTTGACAGAGCGTCAGCACCTCCGTCCGTGTTCTGGGAGCATCCACCTTCACAGAGTGCCTCTGAAATAAAAAAATAAAAAACAGTAACTAAATAAATTCAAAAAAACAAATTACTGGGTGGACGTAAACAGATGGGGACCATTACCTTCCTCTTGCGTTAGCAGATGAGCCTGGCATGCATCGGGCATGGTGGGGCTGGGGCCTTCACTGCCGGTGCTCAGCTGGAGGCGCCTCATGTGACGGATCACTGCTGTGGCATTGAATGCTTGCTGCAGCACCCGAACAACCAAACAAAAACAAAAAAAGCACATGAAAAATATTACAATTAATTTAGTTGCGCTACAAATTTGAAAGCGCATTGAAATATTCCAACAAGCTAACAAGAAAAGCTAAGAAGGCTCCTACAGGGGGACTTTTTAAAATAGTATTGTTGTTTAGTGTGTAGTGTGTAGTGTATTTGTATTCCCCGAGTCTATACTGTAGAACATTAGACTAGGGATGCACGATATTGGGCTTTTGGCCGATATCCAATATGCCGATATTTTAAAACTCATGTAGTCGGTAACCGATATCGATAACGATGTTAAAGCTGGACAAAAATACGTAGTCATTGAAAATAGCAGTTTTGTTATCCATTTCTGACACTTTAAAAAATAATATACTCAAATATATTTTCATGTGCTGATATCAAATTGATTTTTAAAAACGCGGTATCGATCTATTTTACTTTCAAAATCTTGTGAAATTTCATCGTTCTGTTACAAACTCTCGTGATATTTTGCAAATTCTTGTGAGATTTTGTTAGTAAAATAGATCGATACCGCGTCAATATATCAACATATAAAATTACGGCAAAATTTCGTGAATTTTTGGGGGATTTCGTAGCATAACGATGACATATAGCAATATTTCATTAGTAAAAGAGATTGATATGGTGTTTTTAAATGGCAATATATCAGCATATGAAGATATTATGATATTTTAATGTATCAATGTTTTTTCCCTCGTCTTTAGAAGTTTTTAAGTCTGTAAAAAATAAGTTTTTGAGGAAGAAGAAGAAGTAGTATATATATTTTTTTTTTTAGACTTTAGAAACTCAGAAGCTGATCAAATATCGGGTTAAATATCGGTGGGGTGGCCGATGTCCAATATACAGTTTTAAGGCCGATATAGGCCGATACCGATAGGGGGCCGATTATATCGTGCATCCCTACATTAGACAGTTAGACACTGAAACCATGAACATGTTTCTTTGTAAATTAGCTCAATAAGATACACTGGAAAAATGATCTAGAAATACACAAACATTTCTTAAATTAAGTGTATTTATCCTTAATTTCAGTGGGTAAATGAGATAGTTTGCCAATGGGGTAAGTATTTTCACTCTTAGAAAAAGATTAGATAATATGCACTTGAAAAGACAATGTATTTTCTTTCTTATTTTAAATGTAAATTGTCTCGCTCCATTGCCAAAATGTCTAACTTTCCTCCTCAATTCCAGAAAAAATGCACTTATGTAAATTAATTTTTTTTGCAGTGTAAGAGGAGATGTCTAGGAAGAGTACTTTAAAATCTTGGTGACAGATTTGCACTTTTGTCTGGACTTTGCTGTGCTTTTCTAAAACATAAACACACTTCAATCTTAAGCATGCCCTTTTGTCTCTGGTTCGTTTTGTTTGCAAATTTAGGGCCACTGGCCCCTGAGTAGATTATCCTCCACCCAGAAATAAAGTCTTTTGCAATCTCCAACATGTTTTCCTTCAGTTTTGCTCTACAGTTTGCACAATCCATTTCCCAGCTGTATGTACAGCATTTTCCTTTCTAGTCTTTCACATTTATGCTGTGTTCCTCAAATAGCTTGTAGCAAACTGCACATGGGGATATCATCCTTTTAGACAGAAGAGTCTTCCTCAATGCAAAAACGATCTAGAAATAAGTAAACATTTCTTAAATTAAGTGTATTTAGCCTTAATTAGAGCAGGTAAATAATTATAATTATTTTTCTTAATCTTAAAATAAGATAATTCGATAATATGCATTTGAAATAATACAATGCAATTGTTTTTTTCTTATTTTAAATGTAAATGGTCTTGTTCCATTGGCAAAGTGTCTCACTTACCTCCCCAATTCAAGAAAAAATTAACGTATTTTAAAAAAAACTACTTATATTTAAATATTTTGCAGGGCTAATACTCTTCCATAAATCTCATATTGGTGAATTAAACATTTAATATTAAAGATTCTTCTGCCTGATTCCTGTATCTCTGCAACTCCTTTAGAGTTAGAACAGGCTAATTAATGCTCTCCAAGCTTAGGTTTGTCAATTTTGGGGAAGAGCCATATTTTAATAGGAAAAGATGAACTCATCTGCTTTGTAATTTCAGATAATAATCAATTAAACAGATCTATATGGTATGCTAAAGCCTGGAAGATTGAACTATAACCTAATATTGCAGCAAACATTTGCAACAGATTGGCCCTTGGTTGCACTGGTCTCTATCCTGGAGGTTTCAAATAAAGTGAGCTGAAAGAAAATGCAACTACCCATTTCAAAAGAAAGATTTAGAAAATATTTATTGCTTTCTTTTTATTTTAAAGTCCAAGCTTTTTGCTACAAAGCGATAGAGAAAGCTCTTAAATCTGGGTTAATTTTGGAAGGGAACTGTGGGATTCAGACTGACCTTCCATTTGCTTTTTGCAAAGTTTTTCTTGATCTGAGCACTGACAGACTCGTGAATATTCTTGTCCAGGGCGGTATCCCCAGCAATCCTGACACAGAGAAGAAAAGAGTTAACAGAGTCAGGTTATTTTGCTTTCATAACAGATTTCTAAGGAGATGAATTGAAGAGTTTTAAATAAAGTGTGAAAAACAAGGACTGAACATAGCAGGCATACCAGGGGTGCTGCAGAGCCTGCTCGCAGGTGAAACGTATGTTCGAATCTTTTTCCATAAGATGCACAATAAAGTCTTTAGCTGTGAAAATACAGACAGAATAAAAATTTTTATATTGTATAAAATTTATAAAATGTAGATGGCAGCAACTCACTCTGGTTAAACATGACATTTATGAAGAAAATGACTGTTGTTTAAACAGGGCTGGTATTTGTTTTGTGTTTGTTAAGCTTTGCTTTTGCTCAGTTTGTTATTAAATACAGCCTTTCTGTGTATATATTACCATAACAACATCATTTGACCAGGATTACATCACTGCCCATGCATTCAGTTGGTCAACAAGCTAAAGCAATGGAGGCGAGCGAGTACTAGCAAAACAAATAAATGAAAATGCAATATCCAGTGTGAAAGGAGCAGGATGATGCGTGATTTGGGGAGTGACAACCTAGTGGTTACAGCTTAGTGCTTGAAATCCTGGGGTTGTGAGCTCAAACCCCCTCCATCTCTCTGACCCTTAACCTCAGATTGCTCCCCGGGTGCCCCATGATGGCAGCCCATTGCTCCCCAAGGTTCCCAATGGTTAAATGCAGAGGTAAATTTCTCCAATGTGAGATCAATAAAATGCAATTATTTAATCATTTGATTCCAAAGGGGAAAAAACTGGAGTTGAGCTTGGAAAACAGTTGAACCATCAGAGTTCACTAAAGCTGGAGCTAAAGCTCAGGAAGCTTTCTGATGTCACTGTAAAGTTAATAAACATGTGAGTACATGTCCTTGCTAATAGTGCTACTGGTGTTAGCAATGCTTTTAAGCCTGTTCGTCTGAGCAGTCAGTTTTATCAAGGCATTGAAGCACAGTAAAGGCTGATTTATACTCAGAAAACCAGGCGTCTGCGTGTGTCACAGTGAATGCAAATGTGCCCCCCGCCCCTTCTGCGGATACTCTACTGCACCCCTCCAAAATTGTCGGTGAGGTATCTGATTGGTCAAATATACATACGTTCTATGCGTATTTCCTGTTTGGTACCTTACCGGCTTGTTTTGTTTGTATGACCGCCATTGTGGTAAACGACTCATGAAGATGGACCAGCTAGAAGAGCCAGGTGTGAGAGAATGCTGGGACCCTTTTTCGACCTGATGTCCCTCCGTTGTCACGCAAACTTTCCCCCACTTCCTCACCGCCATGGCCGTATCCAGACCCACAGCTAGTTTGTGATTGTCCCTCTTGTGTTGTGGCGTGGAATAACATAGCGCAGACCACGCTTCAGAATTGGGCATATATCAAAAATATCTTCGACAAGCTCACTGCAACACAATGGTGTATAACCAGCCCTTAAGGACTCATTAAGTAGTTGCATCAATTGCTAACATCTGGATTTCTTGTAGTTCATTGCTGCTGCAGGTAGGCGGCGTCCCGTCTGTTTATGTCAGATCATTGCTTCCCGTGTTGAGCTTCTATTTAGGCTCAAACATTCTGTCAAAACACTTTTAAAATTGAAGCTTGGCAAATATAACCTTATTCTATCATAAGTGGATTTTGGACTTTGTGGTTTAACCTTTACCACCTGGTAACAATGGAGATATTCTTTATCTTTCAGGTGGAAATCAGTTCTAAACCCCTCTGAATTTAACATGTTAAAAGAAGGTACAACATGAACCCAATTATCCTCAATTATGTAGTGTTTTATTACAAACAGCTTAACAAACCTGAAAAAACCTTTTCATGTTATTCATGTTCTAATTCTAATTCTAAGTTCTAATCCTTAAAGTTTTTACATTAATATTTTCTTTGATTGATTCTACAATTAAAATCAGATTGTTTTAAAATTCATCTGAATATATAAATAGGATAAAAACATATATGTTTCGTTGCTCAAGTTTTGCAAAAAATCCTGTGTTTAATTTAAGATGGAGCTTCAAGCATGGCATAAGAAAAACCTTAAGTACTAAAGAGATCTTAAAACTATATTGGCAGATTAATTGGTTTTTCTAATGCAATGTACCTGAATCAGAGATATCATCCCAGTAAGGAGAATCAAACTCATATTCTGCTTTCAGGATCTGTTCAAACAGTTTGGCATCATTTTCATCGTAGAAGGGAGGGTATCCACACAGCCTAAAATAAAAGAAGAGAGAACAGCTCATTGGTTCCTAACTTACACTATACAATCATATTTAATACATTTGAATATTTTATTTGGCATTTATTTGTGTATGACCATCTGCTTACAGGTTAAAAAAAAACACCATCAAATATCAGAACATTAGAATAGACCCATAACGAAGCATTATAATACAGAAAAATTAACCTGATAAAAAAGTATTTTTAACACCCTATTAAAAGTTTTTAAGTACTTTAAATCCAATGAATAAGCCTCTTCAGAATCAGAAGTTTTTTTATTTATATAACTGTTCTTCAATGTTCATGCCATGATTACAACCATGGTTCCAAAACAGAAGCAATAACTAAAATGAAATAAACATCATGTGCATTCTTTATTTATTAAAGTTTAGTAGGAAGGACTGCTGGGTCGCTGACTGGACCGGACCTCAGCAGTGGTGGTTCCACTGTAGTCGACCAAAATCCCTGATGATTTTGAATTCCCCCCCGACATTTTTTTAGTTATGAAAAGTAGGACATGTCCAGGAAAAGGAGGACGTCTGGTCGCCCTACCATATCAACAATTTGATGTTTCAGTGAGTGTGTGCTTGTTGGTATGATGCGTCTTTGCTCAGCAGCTTTGCTCGTTGTAAACCAACCAATCAGAGCACAACTCATCTAAATATTCATGAGCATACCACAAAAGGAAGAAAACCTGTCGTTTCATTCTGGGGCTTTTTAACCAGGCTTGAATTAGGGCTCATAGAACAGCAAATATGCCATTTTCAGCCCAAACAATGTTACACACCCTATTCAGAGACCTTAAGGACCAGCCCCTTTAACCCCTTTAAGGATCAGCACCAAGAACCCTATATAATCATTCTATGACCCCTTTAATCTTACGTATTTCGGCAACATTTTTCAGAGTTAACAACATTAAAAGTTGAGCAGTCCAGCTGAAAACATATGGCTGGACACCTACAGTACCTGTTACTAGAGTTACATGATTACATGGAAGAACAAAAAAACTGTATTTATTTGAAGTGGTGGAAAGTAATGGAGTATATTTAGTTCATTAGTGTACTTAAGTAAACTTTTTGACTATCTTTACTTCAGTTGAGTAATTGCTTTTTTTTTTTTTTTTTCATGGGCAATATACAACTTTCAGTCCACTGCATTTCAAAGTCAAATATTGTAAATCCAACATCAATAGATTCCCAGGAAGTTAGTGGTCACTTGTTCCTTTTGGCTCAGCTCAGCTTTGTAATCCCCTGTTGCTGTTTTTCCTTCTTAAAAGGCAATTTTTCAACAATGTTTCTCACACAGTTCATCCTTAAGAACAGGTATGCTGGATGTTTTTGAATCTCTCTTTTTCAACACACCGGAATCAATTGGTAGCTCATTAGCAGGGAAATGCAGGACTTTGCAGTGCTGAGGAGGCAGTAACTACCTCCAGAGAGAGGAACTAAAACATGGCAGACAGCAGCCATTCAAGTCTGAATTTGGACACCGATGTTTTAGAGACTTAAATGACATTCAACAACTTTGGAAAAACTCAAAGCAGACAGTTTGTAGTTTATTCATTTTATTAAGGCATTATTTGTTGCCATGTGGCCGAGTTGTTCAGTCGGAGGAGTTCTCAAATCAGAGTATGTGTTTTTTGTGGTAATAGATTCAACCTTTAAATCTCTATTCCATAGTGAAAGTGTGAGGAGAATCAAGACTCTCCTGTATTCGCTTTGCGTTTTTAAATAAAAAATTAAAATAGCTATGTTGAAGTTCTTTATAAGTAGTGTAGGATTTGCAGAAGAGTGGTTCGACACATCAATACATCAGATGGTTTCTGAAAGTTACAGGTTCTTTAAAATTACGCTGAAAATTAATATATTATTTGTACATTTGAATACTTAAGTACTTTCAAATGTAAAGTCCTTTTCAATACTTTAACTTAAGTAAATGTTTGACCAAGTAATTTACACAAATAGTAGAGTAAAATTTGACGATCAGTTTCAGTACTTTTACTCAAGAACTTAAGTTGAGTACTTTATCCACCCCTGTCTACTCGTAAGTCTATGTGTGCTGCTTTTTTAATAATTTTTTTTAATAAGGGATGAACAAATTCCTTGTGAAACAATAAAACTATGACTACATAAAAAATTATGTTTAACACAATAGCAAAATAGCCACCTAAAACTAATCACTATTTATTTAATAGTTTCATCCTTTTATGAGATCAATCATAACCAATAAATAAATACTGATATAAAAATTTGTGACTTTACCCTGTTGTTTCTTTTAGTTTTAATCCAATACTTGTAAAAAACTGATCCTACATCAGATTTCTAAATGTGAATATATGCAGTTATTGCATCACCACTTATTTTAGATTCATAGAGGAAGTAAGGGTATATGTCCTGCAGATGGTCGCCACCAAAAACTTGTACTCACAGAATATATGCTATGACCCCAATAGACCAGCAGTCCACAGCTTTACTGTACGGTTTCTGCGCTAAAACTTCAGGAGCTGAAAAAGAGAAGAGAATAGACTGCAGGTTTTAATGCAGAATATATATATATATATAAAAAAAGTCCTATGCCTGATGAGCAAATTTTGGGAATTCTTTCAGCTCTGCTTTTAGGCACATTAAAAATTAATTTCAGTATTTTTTCAACATAGGAAGATGCAGCATTACATGATTTGTGGGATGAGTAAATCAGATTGCCTCTGTCTCTGAATCTTACCTACATATCCAGGCGTTCCACAGGCTGTCGACATCACGCTGCCAGAGCCCTCGATCTTTGACAAACCAAAGTCACTGATCATGATTTTTGAGTCTTCTTCCATGCTGTAGTACAGCAGGTTCTCTGGCTGTAAGATGAGGAGAAAGACATAATTAGATACAGAGGCGCGTTTAAAGCACCGTCTCCTATATGTAGGAGATGAAAAAAAGTTTTAAACCCCCATTCTACACAAACCTTTAATAAAACCTTGACACTATCAAATAATTTTTACTATTATATGTGCTTTACAGTTAAATACATTGACCTACAAATGTATTTTATGTGACAGACATGAAGTAGTGTCTCAAAAGCATTTTCTTTTCCTAAAGCTTCACAATCTGCTAACTTATTTTTCATTGTTTTTAACATGAAATCCCCCAAAAAAGAATCAAAAATATAATAATGTACTCAAAACTTTCACTCAAGTAGCACTATTAATAGCACAAACTCAATTAAAAATAAATAGTAGTCCTTCAAGAAATTACTCAAGAGTAAAAACAATATTTGTTAGAAAAGCTATTTAAGTACTGACCATTAAAGTATGTAAAACCTAACGGTGCAATTAGACATTATGTCCTATTTTCCAGACTGAAATAAATAAAAAACACAATAAATAAAATGATAACAAAATGACAAATTAATGCAGAAGAAACAATTTTCTCTATCCATTTTCTCCAACATCACACCGATCCTTACAATAAGGTACAATAAGCTGCTCACTGTGGACAAACAAGCTGAAAGCTTTTACTCAAGTTAAAATATAAGTACAGTATAGTAAACTACTGCTAAAATAACCTTTTATTATTAATTGACCAGTTGTTACTCACCTCTGCTCTAACGTGAAAGAATGTTAAAAAGTTCAAGAGGTTGAAAGTCTTGCAAGGTATAATACAAATGAACAAGTCTTTTCTAAATGTATAATCAATATTCAACATATTTGTGTTACTGGCAGGGGAAATCAAATATTAGTTAAAATGGGGGCAGAAATAAAAAGCATGCAGCTTGGCCAGACTGACCTTGAGGTCACGGTGCACAATGCCCATATCATGGAGGTATTTGACAGCATCCAGAATCTGTTGAATGAGTTTACTGGCATCTTTCTCTGTGTAGAACCCCTTCTCTATGATACGATCAAACAGTTCCCCGCCGGACACCCTGCAGAATGGGATACATGCAGCATAATATTAACAGCAATATATAAAATATCAACCAGTTTATAGCTTTTACAACAGGAGGTGCTGAAGACGTGCTAAAAGGAGGTTGTATGAAAAACATGAGAGGAAATTAACAGGAGGAAACAGAAAAAAAACAGGAACTCGCTGCTACAGCCAGTAACCAGAGCAAACAACTTCTAGTTTTTCTGTGCTGAAGTTGTTAATAACGGCTACACACAACACTTTTTTTAAGTTAACACTGTCAATATAGTGAAATGTAAAATATATATATATATATATATATATATATATATATATATATATATATATATATATATATATATATATATATATATATATATATATATACATATATATATATATATATACTTTAATTTAAAAAAAATTCTAAAAAAAATCTACATAGCACCACGCAGTTGCTGATTTTGGCCACTAGATGGAGACCTCACTCTGCAAATTTCTCATCTACTAAACAGAAATCTGGCATCTTCATTTGTTCCTTTAGGAAGACTTAATGTAAAGACCAACACTGACTAAAATAATATGGACATTATAGTAATGTAGTTATTCCAAACACCTCCTGCCCTCACCCAATCTGTTGCTTTTCATTTTCTGCTTTGACTGTGATTAATGCGTAAATGATTTACACATTTAAGAGTCTCAAAATTAACAGCCCTCCTGATTCTATTCTGGCACTGATCTGGATCCTCTCCGTGACATTTCAGCAGTTTCAGGTGGGTGGGACACTGACAAGCTGCTAGTGTGAGGCCAAACTCCCCACTGATGTTCATGGGTAGTCCACACAAACACACACATACAACACACAGGTTCAGCGTGTGAGTACAGTTCAAGGCATGTGACAAAGAGCGTGTGGGAGATAACGCGAGTAGGCAGTTGGAAACACACTTCGCACAAAGAAAGGAATAACAGTGCCACACATATGTGAATACTCACAGTTGCATGACAAGGTAGAGGTGTGATTTACTCTCGAATATCTCCTCCAGAGATACGATGTTTGGGTGTTTAATCCTGTTAGGGAGGAAAAAACAAGGAGGGAGAAATGGTTTGTTTGTGTATTATCTCACTTTTTAGAAATAATCCTATATATATTCTTAAATATTACATATGCATGTCTGTGCTTGCAGCTGGGAAATCTGATCTTATTGTAAAGACGAAGGGCTGGGTCACTTTATCATTATGGATAGGATCATGTGTCTCTATGCAGAGGCATGCAGCTCCCTAATTGGCTGAGCTCAGCTTAGGTGCCCTTTGACACCCATCAGTGCTGTGACAGCGGTAAGAGAATGAGTTACCAGCTTCACATTGCTATATTTACTTTATTATCTAATCAGTATTCCATTAATAATGTCGAATTTTGTTAAAAGTCTCCCTCACCTGATGAAATATATGACTTTCGTTTTCAATTAATCTTTTTTTTCCTTAAAAAAATCTAAGTCACGTATACAAGCACTAAGGTTTGAAAATAGGTTCATCTAACAATACCTTTTTAACATTACAACCCCAACCCTTTAATGTTTTTATCAATTTGAGGTACGCTACAATTGAAAAGTAGTGCATAACTGTAAAGCTGTCTTAAAACTAGTGTTGCACCGATACCGATACCAGTATCGGGCAGGGCCCCGATTCAGAACTAAAATGGTGGTATCGGTATCAGTGAGTACCAACAAATAGGGCACCAATATCATTTTCAGAGCCAAAAGTTTATTCAGCTATTGTCACTCATTCCAGGTAGGCAATAAAAAGTTCTACTGGATTCACTTTGTATTAGTCTTTTTCCTGCTTCACAAAGGTAGGCAGCAGCTTGACAAAGCCATGATGGCAATTATTTTTACATCCAAGTAGTATGCAGTTCTTCATTTATACACACATTAATTTCAAACAGATGGTATCTGTGTTGTATCAGTATTGGCCAATACTGCACAGCCAGGTATCAGGTATCGGTATTCGGGCCAAAAAATGGCATTGGTGCAACACTACTAAAAACAAGACAGAAAACTATGTAAGTAGGGGTTTAAATTGGCAAGAATCTGCCGATATGACACGTATCTCGATACACGTCATGATTCAATTTATCCCAATACATTAACAAAGACAATATATTGTGATTTTTATAATAATAATTCTCTGGAAAAAAATGAGAAAGGGTGCTACCTACTAGTGGCTGGAGGGTTAATAGTTATATAAAACAAAAAAAAAACTAAAAAGATTGTTTTCCTATGAATATCATTGTAACCTTTAAGATCCATTGGGATGCTTGTATTTTGAACCATTACAAATATTGTCTAATAAAATAACTTGATATTTGAAAGAATCAATATTTTATTTTACTACTAATGTGGACCATCTGTATCTTGAGCATATTACCCCGATACCCTTTAGTTCAATCCTGACCAGGCAACCATTTTTCAAGTGTCACCCAATTAGTTGATACATTCCTGCTGTAATTCAATTTCCATATAAAGCCAGCTGTTTTGTGGTTTCAACAGCAACGTCTTGTAATCACATCATTAACACAAAATAAGACAGCAGATAGGCAAGTAAAGTATATATGACTTTAGAAACTTGGGCGTCCACCTAAACCAACAGGCTAGGCAAGAAAAGTATTAACCAGAGAAAAGGTTAAATAGCCTTTTGTTTTGTGGAGAGATCTACAGCTCCGGTATTAGACAGCTATTATTAGGCATCCATAGAGGGACAAAAGCAAAAAAGATTTGAGGCACAGCCAAATTATGCTAGGCAGTTAGCCTTCAACATCTTGTTTGGGATAACTAACCATGCTATGGGGCACAGCAATCATTTGAGAAAACATGCACATTTTGGCCTATATGCAAAGTGACATATGTTAAAGGAAAACTAACACCACACATCATCCTCAGCGCACCACTTCCACCAAAGAACAATCTGCTGCATGATCTGAAATCTGCTGTTCACAGATGTGAACATCTGCCTGCGTGAGATAAGAAAGAATGTGTGAAAATCCTTAGTTACCTGTCTATAAATCAAAGACTTGCAGCTGTAACTGAAGCCTAACATGGTTCTATTAACAATTTAGAAGGGCTTGCTAAACACAAAAGTATTTGCATTTAAATTTTTTTATTTATTTGAAAAAATATATATATTTCTATTTCCTACCACTTTATAACTATTCACTTTTTTGGACTCTGTCAATTAAATAACTCCCTGGGAAAATCTCTGCAATTTGTGATTGCAACATGAAAAAGGTGAAGAAATCTAAAGGATATGAACACTTTTATAGGCCGCTGTTCGCGCTGCATATTGCTTACAAAGTCGAGATACTAAATTAAGACAGTCGGGAAAGACTAGTGTGCACCGAGCACAAAGCCACATGTACGAGATGTACTGAAGGGAACTCTGTATGGGTCAGCTCCAGCTCACATTGGATTACAGCAGTGACTCATCCAGATTGTAACGGTGCATGGACACCTTCATTCAACTGTTTAGGACACTGTTGAGGGAGAGATGGACTCAGTCCAGGATAAGTAACAGATTAATACTTCAGAGAGATCAGTCACGTGTGGCTTCATAACAGCTTAAGCATTCGGTTAATATTCTGCATTTCAGCTGAATTTCTGGGCTGGGGTGTCCGTCTAGGTATGAACTTAGAGAAAAAAGGAAATGCTTTTAACTAAATATATTCAAGAACTAAAATAATTATGAGTAAAATCCAATAGTCTGGTTTTAATAGGTCATTTCTAAGGTGCTTGGGGCTCCTGTGAACCACAGTGAAAGCCATTCTCCACAAATTAAAACTGCTCATAGTGAACCTCCACAGCAGGTGATGGCCCATCTAAATTACACCTATACATCATAATGGATCTAAGGTACAGCAATAAAACAAAGAGCATGAAGATGCTGCAAACCTCAATGCCTATGTGAAAGGGAAGGGTTCATTTTTCAGCAAAAACTAGAGGGGAATGAGCAAAAACAGCATCCTTTAAGGGTTCAAAATCCAAAGCAAAAAATTGAACTTTTTGGATGGCATGGTACAAAAGGTATAACAGCAATTGGCTATATGAAGACTCAAACATGGTAGCAGCAGTTTAAACATGGTCAGGGGTCTGCTTTGAACAAAGTCTGCTCCAGAAATATTGGAATATCCCAGAGGAGTCTGCCTGGCAATTACCAGTAGCCGAAAGCCCCAAGCTTTGGTGCACTTGGCTTATTTAGCAATACATTGATCTATGGCACATAGAAAAGTCTACCTCAGGTTGTGAAATGTTGCAATCAGGACTTTGATTATATGCTATGACTAGGACTATTTTGCTAATGGATTAATCTGTCCATTTTTCCCCTATTAATCAATTAATAATCAGATGTCAAATGGTTCCTTAAAGAATTAAGAGATAACTTAAAATTAATTATTGCACTTGAGGAGTTCAGAATTAGCATATTTACAGAAAAAAGTTTTTCATGCACGAGCAAAATGTTTAGATATTTTTCACAATTTAAGCATATTTACTGCTCTGGGTCGGTTGCTCTTTTAGCTAATGGCATTTTTCAGAGTCTGTTTATCTCCAGCTTGCATTGAATCAATTACTAAATTGGTTGACAATTTGACAATAATAATTTAATCATGTTTAATATGATACACTTTTTCATCCCTCATCAAAATTTCTTCCTAAAACAAAAATATCCTCAGAGCCAGTGGCTGCATGACAAAAGCAAGCATTGACCATTTCTTTAGCAGCAGTTTTGCGCTCAGTTTCAGTAATGCTACATTATTTTTAGCCAAATTAAGGTTTATTCAGACCTATATGGCTCTGTGTGAAAATTGATCTCCTAAACCTTAATAACTGATTTAGGAGGCAATCAACGTTTGTGATGACTTGTGATCTTTTACAGCATGAACAATTGTTTTATTCCAGCCACACTTTAAGATCATGCTTCAGCATCTCAGTAGGATCCAGGGCTTGGACTTGTATACTCTGAGGTGTTCATTTTAAATTTTTTTGGCTGTTTTAGCTATTCAGTAATGGATTTGTTGTTGTATTTTGGATCGTTGTTGCAGAACCCCAGTTGGTTTCATTTTGAGATCACAAACAGATGGCTGGAAAGTGTGGTCACTGCGGTCGCTGGAGTCCCAAAGCTTCAGATACCGCTTTAAAACCCTTAACTGATATATCTCTATCGCAGTCGTTCTCTTTCGTTTCTGAATTTCTTTGGATCTCAGCATGATGTCTAGCTGTAAAGAATCTATCAGTGTACTTTTCAAGGCAGGTCCTTTTTTAGTGATTTTAATTAGTGGGAACAGATTTGGAGGTCCTCAGTTGTGGGTGTAGCTAAAGAAAGGAAACTTAGTTCTAATAAATACCAAATAAGTTGTGATTTAACAGTGGCAATCACTTCCACACATGGCCATGTAGATTTAATTTCAAAACTACAATTAGCGCTATCTTTGACAGTTGTTTGAATTGTCTGATGTTCAAAAAGTTGTCTAAATCTAAATCGGGATCGGGACGGGACACCATTTTTTTCTGTGGGAGTGGGACGGGACAGGAGTGAAAATCCACTCCCGTGTCAGTCTCTACAGTCCAGGGACTGACTGCAGTTCTACTGTAAGGCGCCTTGGTCAAAGGTCAACGATCAGCGTACCTGACATATAACAACCACACCATGAATATTGCTTTAGGTTAATAGACTATATTAATTAGGCTATGTGTTCTGCAAAAAATAAAAATAAAAAAAATCCACCATCCCCCTTTTTTTTCCACAACCAGACTGCTGCTGACAAGCAAATATAAAGTTATTTGACTTCTTCATAAAGAATTTTGAGCTACTTCCTGCAGAAAAAAGCGCTAAGTTAAAACAGTTTCAGAGACGCTTCTCTTCCTGACCGTCACGCGTTCAATTAAAGCTGTGAAGCTTCAACAAAAATGAATGAAACTGTGATGCGAAGTAGGGTTCGCTTTGAGGAAGGTTGTTGTACAGATGCTCTTCAGGTATATTGAATGTTCTCCTCCTGGAGAAAAAAACCTTTAGGAGAATCTCTGATGTGTAGTGATGATGGACCAATTAATTCTCATCATTCAGGAACGTCTTCAACTAGGAAGTTTATTTGCTCATGTCGCTAAAAAAGAGTTTGATAACCTATTTTTTATGTTTATTTTAAAGAAATATAATAAGTGATTTTTTTATATACCTAAATATATTGTTAAAAAAAAAAGTCAACAATTAGTAAAGACGAACTCCTTTTGGTCCTCATCAATCATTTTCTCCTCTATTGCTCAGCTATGATGGGATGGCACAAGCAAACATGTAACCCCCCCATTCTGTGATATACAGGTGCTGGTCATAAAATTAGAATATCATGAAAAAAGAGGTTGATTTCAGTAATTCCATTTAAAAAGTGAAACTTGTATATTATATTCATACATTACATACAAACTCATATATTTCAGATGTTTATTTTGTTTAATTTTGATGATTACAAATGACAACAAATGAAAATCTCAAATTCATCATATCAGAAAATTAGAATATTGTGAAAAGGTTCAAAATTGATGGCCCCTGGTGCCACACTCTAATCAGCTAATTAACTCAAACCACCTGCAAAAGCCTTTAAATGGTCTTTCAGTCTAGTTCTATAGGCTACACAATCATGGGGAAGACTGCTGACTTGACAGTTGTCCAAAAGACGACCATCGACACCTTGCACAAGGAGGGCAAGACACAAAAGGTCATCGCTAAAGAGGCTGGCTGTTCACAGAGCTCAGTGTCCAAGCACATTAATAGAGAGGCGAAGGGAAGGAAAAGATGTGGTCGAAAAAAGTGTACAAGCAAGAGAGATAACCGCACCCTGGAGAGGATTGTGAAACAAAACCCATTCAAAAATGTGGGGGAGATTCACAAAGAGTGGACTGCAGCTGGAGTGAGTGCTTCAAGAACCACCACACACAGACGTATGAAAGACATGGGTTTCTGCTGTCGCATTCCTTGTGTCAAGCCACTCTTGAACCACAGACAGCGTCAGAAGCGTCTTGCCTGGGCTAAAGAGAAACAGGACTGGACTGCTGGTGAGTGGTCCAAAGTCATGTTCTCTGATGAAAGTAAATTTTGCATTTCCTTTGGAAATCAAGGTCCCAGAGTCTGGAGGAAAAAAAGAGAGGCACCTCATCCACGTTGCTTGAAGTCCAGTGTAAAGTTTCCACAGTCAGTGATGGTTTGGGGTGCCATGTCATCTGCTGGTGTTGGTCCATTGTGTTTTCTGAGGTCCAGGGTCAACGCAGCCACATACCAGGAAGTTTTAGAGCACTTCATGCTTCCTGCAGCTGACCAACTTTTTGGAGATGCAGATTTCATTTTCCAACAGGACTTGGCACCTGCACACAGTGCCAAAGCTACCAGTACCTGGTTGAAGGACCATGGTATCCCTGTTCTTAATTGGCCAGCAAACTCTCCTGACCTTAACCCCATAGAAAATCTATGGGGTATTGTGAAGAAGAAGATGCAATACACCAGACCCAACAATTCAAAAGAGCTAAAAGCCACTATTAGAGCAACCTGGGCTATCATAACACCTGAGCAGTGCCACAGACTGATCGACTCCATGCCACGCCGCATTGCTGCAGTAATACAGGCCAAAGGAGGCCCAACTAAATACTGAGTGCTGTACATGCTCATACTTTTCATGTTCATACTTTTCAGTTGGCCAACATTTCTATAAATCCTTTGTTTTTATTGGTCTTCAGTAATATTCTAATTTTCTGATATGATGAATTTGAGATTTTCATTTGTTGTCATTTGTAATCATCAAAATTAAACAAAATAAACATCTGAAATATATGAGTTTGTATGTAATGTATGAATATAATATACAAGTTTCACTTTTTAAATGGAATTACTGAAATCAATCTACTTTTTCATGATATTCTAATTTTATGACCAGCACCTGTATGGAGACATTAAGCGTTAACATGAGTAATGAAGCCTTTGCATGAGTCAATATAAACATCCCGCAGAGCCAAACAGGACTCTCAAGAGGTGTTTACTGCAGATTTCTTTAATTTGTCACAGTTGTGTCTAAGCTGTGAGCTGACCCCCACCACTCTCATTCCACAGTCTTCACCTCAGAGGGGATCATAGCTGTATATTGTGTTTCTCCTGTAACCCAGGCAACAAGACCTCTAAAAATAACCAGGGACCTGTGTAGATCAGCCATTTTTACTGTGACCTGTATTTCCCCACATCAGTGCAAATCGGAACAATTCACAATCACCTCCTGTGTCAATGTAAAAAAATATATATATATTTTAAATACATTGTCAAACTGAAATTAAACAGATTTTTCTGCTTTTTTAGAAGGCAAAAGTATTTTATCACATAGCATTTCTATTTTTTGAACAAGGTGAATCCAAACAAGATGTTTTAATTGCATTTTAAATTAAATGCATGTTGTTTAGCACCCGAATTCAAGGAAAAAGAATAACAAAAATTGAATGATCTTCATCTTAAAATGTACATAGATCATTAAATATGTCAGGGTCTGAATGAGTTGAATTTATTAAGACACTTTTGATTAACCTATTTTTTCCACATGGGTATTGGGATAAAAGACAGCGAATTTCACATGCTGTGAAATCCATCAACATTTTTTTTTATTTTTTCACATTTTTTTCATATGACTGAGAAAAACAGATTGATGCTCCACCTAGGTCATGGTATGATCTAGGGTTTCGGCACAATCATTTAGAATTGTGAGGTGAGTTGATCTTCATCAGCGCAGACAGAATGTTTGCATTGTGGAGAATGAGTTTACAAAAATAACTATCAGTCCACTGCTGAGGTCAGATCCCTTAAGAAGGAAATTGGGGACTGTTATTTACTCTAATATAAAGTAATGTAGAAGAGGAACACTGTGATTGATATCTGAATAACAAATACCATGTGACTAGTCATAAGGTGTGAACTGTTTTTTTCTATTCTACTACTGTAAAAGCTGTTTGAAAATTAAAATCTAAGTTCCCCTCCATCCCGGTTTTGGGAAAAGTGGATTTTTTTTTATTAAATCCTACAATTACAACAAAGAAAGCAGAATACCTACAATTGAAAAAAATAATTTAAACTGTGGCCTATTGAACCTGTTGCTGCTACTCATTTTCTATGGTTCCTTGACATTGATTTGCTGGTTAAAACTGTGCAGTCTTGACCTTGTATCTTATACTTTGAGCCATATCTGAAACTGATCTTTCTCAGGCCATTTTAATTCATATCTAAATGTTTTACTTCTCCAAGGAAAACGGTCACTTACTTGTGCAGGACTGCGATTTCATTCTCAATACTGTTTTCCTTGCCTTCTAATGCTTTCTTAGGGATGCACTTGATAGCCACCAATCTCTGTGTCTTCTTCTCCTCGGCCAGGAACACTTCAGAGAAAGCTCCCCTAAAACACAAACACAAAGTTCAGTATTTAAAATCCTCCATCAGACACCAGCGTTTAGATAGGGTTCTTTACGGGTATCCCTAATATGGAGGGAAGAAAAGAAAAACAAAGGAAGAAAAGTCAGGATTTGTTCTTAAATGTGAGCAAGAGAACTTGCCAATAAAACCTAAAAGTTCTGGTTAAAATCTTGGCCTTCTGATGCCAATCAGAGATTATTTTTAACATTAGCCTCCTCCTGAAGCCTCTGAGACGCTGATTCAAGTTTTGGCGAGTCTGTTAGCAGGTGGGATGATTTGGGACGCAACGCTGCGGGTTTATATCTGACTCACATGATGGGCAATAAAGCACTTAGATGGCTACATTATCTTGGTTTATTTGAGGGCGTTTATATGGATCATATAAATCTCTCAATGCATCTTTCCAGTTTACCATATTTCACTCAATTCCAACCATGTAGCCTCTTAATAAAATTCAATAGAGCTGCATGTTATTACACAACTTTGTAGTGCAGCATTGCATAACGCAGTGATACACAAATGTGTATCATAAAAATATATTTATTTATCTTTTTTTCCATTGTACTTCTGTCTTCCAACTAACTAACAAATAAAAGAATCAGATATGAACAGCAAGTATCACTGCCTGGAGATCTTTATCAGTTTGCCTATATGAAGATAAACAGTTCTACTAAACTCTTAAGCGCAAAAAATCCTGACTTATAGTAAAAAGAGTGACATAACTGCTTATTCTCCTGGCCCACAAGAGTGTACAGTGTGCACCCACCCACACTAGTGGGATTAGTAGCACAACGGAGACAAGAGGCTGTTTGATAAGGAGGCTGAGGGTTAGGATGAACAAAATATAAGAACTTAAATTGCTCTTAAGCTGCATAAGAGGCTCCCAGACACAATGACACTAGTCTGTGACAGCTGTTCCAGTATACATTTAGAACTGTGTATATAATAATATTAATTTGGAAGAGTTTCTAATGCAGGAAAAAGCACAGATCCATGTATCATACAGATGTTTAAAAAAAGTGAAGTTTAACAGAGCAAATATGATGAAAGAAAAACTACTTTGTTCACAACAAGGTTTTAAAATCAACAAAATAAAGACAACATCGTAACACAATTCACAGCTTTATGTTTTTATTCTGGTTGTAAAAAAAAACATTATAGGTCAAAATTAACTGAAAGGGTTTCAACCTGCTTCACATCATAAATGTGGCCTATCTGACAAAGCAAATCATAATACTGAAACTGAAGTGAATCACAGGACAGTCGTGGTTAAAACAAGGTATGCCTTTTTATCAGTTTTTGTGAATTTACATTTAAATTTACAGTAACAATCGAGTGGTTTTAACAGGTCTTCTGACCCAAGGTGCACTTTTATGACTCACCTTGTTGTGAAGAAACTAGGGGGGATTTTGGGCAATTAAATCTGATCTAGGTCTGATTTTAAGGGCCTGCATCCAATATTGTAATGCTGATGATGCTTCTGTTTAAAATTTCTATAACCTATTAATTAAAACTGCATGGGTTAGTTATTCTTACACCCATTGTTTTTAATTGCTGTTGTAATAATATCACTTGATCAAGCCTTTTCTAACATACTACAGAATAAGTGACAGAAGAATTTATGATTCTTGCTAAAATCGTATCGGGTCATTATCGTATCGGTCGATTCTCAAAGCTGCAATTATAGGTGTCATATCAGAAATGAAAAAAGAAGAAATGTTTACCATATTTTAACACCATGGGACTTTTATAATTCATTCAAGCTGTCAGATCGATACAAAAAAGTTGGACATTAGTTAGGAAGATAGAAGTGATCAAGAATTTAGATAAAAAATAAACTTTACCTTCTAAGAAAAACAGCTTTTGATTTTCATTTACATAAAAAACAGCAGAAATGGAAGACTAAACATCACCTAAGGAGGATAACATTTATGTGAAAATATGGTTGTATTTTATAGTAATGTGTAAAAAAAATCTGATGCATCTTAGATAATTCACTTTACACAGCTAAAACAGTTTGGTCTTCATTGTAGTGACTTAATCTTGTGCTTAAAAAGCTTAATAGAGGCAAAATATAAATCAAACTGAATGGAACTCCAAGAAATGAAATAAAATAAAAGAGGCATGTTCCAAAATGTTACTGTCTTAGTAAAGCATTTCATTCTAAGCGTTGAGGTAAGATTCACACTGCTGCTACAGAATAGAGCGAAGCAGCCGCAGCTAAAAATGTATGTGTGGGCCGAGGGGAACCACAGCCTCCCTGTCAGTTGGTTTACAGATACATTATCATTTACAGACAAGGAAGGACTGCACAGCAACAAAGCCAACTGTCACCAAACAGAGAAACCTTCTGACTTACAGTGTGTGAAACCCTTCTCTGTATAGAAAAAAATAAAATAAAAAAACTTAAAAATGCATCTAAAGTTAGTTTTTTTCATAGAACTGTGGCAAACTGATTGCATTTGAATGTTTTGCAGTTTAATATTAAACACAACCACCAGAGCTTAAAATGCATCCTTCTTCACACCACTAATCTTCCAATTCCCAGTACTAAAAACAGCAAAAACTCAGCCAAACCATGCTGTGCAGAAAGATGTTTGAGTATACCAATATAATCAACTGTATAGATTCTAGTAGTTATTACTCTAATCAATATAGTTAAGTTACCGCCCTGACCTAAATGCTGGAGTTCGATGAGGAAAATAATTCAGTGTTATTTTATGCTAACACAACCACCCTAAGAGTGAAGCTTCTGGGTCACAACTCATCTAGTAACCTTCACAGTCACAGAAAGGCCATTAGGTCTGGAAAAAATCCAGCTGTGTAAAGGATGCTGTCAGAGCTGCAAATTCCTCAGTAGCCTTTTGTTGACATTTTCCATGCAGCCCTTGTCAGACCAAAAGGCAGAGGGGGTGAAATGTCCAACTCTGGTTCACAGAGCATTCAAGAAAACCTGAGAATGCTACGACAACCTCTACAAGAGAAGATTGCATTATTTTTCACAAAAAAATATTGCTTAATAAAAACAACACATTTTATTTGTAATGCACTTTACATTTAAGAAAAAAAACTAAACATCGCTTTAAAACACTTATGAATAAAATCAATGTCACAATGATGAAAAAAAATCTTACACTAAGATATTCCTTACAAATTAAGGAAAGGCAAGCAATATAACTTGATTTTTCTGTCAATACTGACAACAACAAACAAGAGAGCACCCTAAACAATAACCCAACTTTGTGCTTTTAACTTCCTGTTACATAATCTTTTGGTACACTTCTTTTTTGTCTTACACTTCTGCTTTTAGGTCAAAAAAGGCGTGTGAGGCAGATAAATTATAATTTTAGAGCACCATTTCAGTCACAGCAGGAACAAACAAAGTGGATTTAATTAAGAAAATCATAAACTGTGCTGTACTTTGACAAAAATACAGGTTGGATTTTGTAAAAACCACAAAGAACAAGTAATTTTCAAAGCATCTAAATAAAAGAACACAAAAAAAGCTAATAGCAGTGAATGTGAACATAGTGACTTATTACAACAAATAAATGATCTATTAAATATGTATTCATGATTCATCATTGAAATAAAATGAAATTATTTAAATGTGTCAATAAGGTGAAATCTTGCTGAAATTGAAAAGTATGTTTAACTATATAAATATGTAATTGTATGATATTTACAGTGCCCCTTTCATTAAATAATTGTTTAAATTCAAATCTTGAAAAACATCTGCTTACAATAGATATTTCTTCTTTATTTAAAAAAAGAAATGTTAAAAGAAAAGACTTCAACATTTTTTCTCTCAAATGTTTGCTTTTCAGATTGAGTTTTAAGAGTTGCATTATTTTTTAAATATGTTTTACAGACCACATTCTCTTCTCTTTTGATGGCGGGATTTTCAGCTGTAGTGAGGAGCAAAGATCCATTTCTATCAGTCAGCATGGACTTGGCGTGCGCGCCAAGCGCTAGCATTTGTAATGGGCTTGATCAGAGAAAGCAACATTTTTAATAAAAGGTTTATCAAACTTTCATTTCTGGATTGTATTATTTTCTATTTACAAAACCTGTTCTTTCCTTGCAACAATAATTATACAAAAGGTGCAGAAAACTGCAGTTGGGCAATATTGGAGTTCCTTAACACATATCACTAATCAAAACATTGTTGCAGGCCATGTGCCCCATCATAAAAAAGGTATTCCCTGATAGCTGAGGTTTCTTTCAGAAAAAACACCTTAAGAGGCACAACATATTGTTAAATAAGAGACTTCCGCTGTTTTGTATGTATATATATGTGTGGACACACTGTATATACTGCATATACCCCATGCACCATTTCCTCCTTTTGGCATCTTCTTTTTGACTACTGAGCCGATGTAACAAGTAAATTTCTCCACTGTGGGATCAATAAAGTCTATCAATCAATCAATCAATCAATCAATCAATCAATCAATCAATCAATCAATCAATTTTTAAGGTCTTGACTCCCACACTTAATCCCTCAGATTTCAGAATTTACAAAACCTTCTGCAAATATCTTGATTCCAGATATCAAAGATCCCCATAAATGGTTTGGGCAAGTCAATACTGATGGGCCACGAAAATGAGACATTGATTAGGTAAAACAAAATGAATTTGCATGTCTGACACACAATTTTGCATGTCTGACACATTAACACCAATGCAGTTTTTGAAATGTGCAGCTGTTTACATCAGTAAAGAAGAAGTCAACCCTAACGTATTTCAGTTAGAAGCAGGTTGTTAGCATTCCTGTGTACTGGGGTCTCCCAAACTATGTCCTCAGGTCATACCGTCCTACACTTTTACATCTGTCTCTGCTCCAAAACACTCGATTCAAGATTATTTACCTCCTCAATATTTTCCATCACAATTTTGGATCTTATTTGTCATCCACCAATCAGATGCAAGGAAACATCTTAAGTGAGCAGGGCATTGTCGCCTGGGGACAGGGGTTAGAAA